CTGGGGTTTGGTCGTGCTGGGGTGTGGTCGTGCTGGGGTGTGGTCGTGCTGGGGCGTGGTCGTGCTGGGCGTGGTCGTGCTGGGGTGTGGTCATGCTGGGGGTGTGGTCGTGCTGAGGTGTCCCGCACCCTGTGATTTATCGATCGGGATTTCAAAAACAAGCGTTTCGCCTGAGACATCCTCAAATTTTAATCCGCCGGCCTCCTTCGACCTCGATATTTATCAAGGAAAGAATCCGCCGGCCTCCTTCAAGTTGGGCACGGGGGGATATGTTTACATACTAAAAGAGAACCCTGGGCCTATGCCCTTTCGGGAAACATGATGGACCCACGAACCCGGAAAGGGATATAGACATGTGGAGCATGGACACGTTTTCATGATACCCAACTGGGCAACACCTCACGAAACATCCCACGAGACACCTCACGAAACAGCCCACGAGACACCTCACGAAACATTCCACGAGACACCTCACGAAACATTTCACGAGACACCCCGCGAAACATTCCACGAGACACCCCACGAAACATTCCACGACGACAGGCAACCACTCAACCAAGGCGGTGTGGTAGGCTGGGGTGTGGTCGTGCTGGGGAGTGGTCGTGCTGGGGTGTGGTCGTGCTGGGGGGTGGTCGTGCTGGGGGGTGGTCGTGCTGGGGGGGTGGTCGTGCTGGGGGTGGTCGTGCTGGGGCGTGGTCGTGCTGGGGCGTGGTCGTGCTGGGGCGTGGTCGTGCTGGGGTGTGGTCGTGCTGTGGTAAGGTCGTGCTGGGGTGTGGTCGTGCTGGGGTGTGGTCTTGCTGGGGTGGGGTCGTGCTGGGGTGTGTCATGCTGGGGTGGGTCGTGCTGGGGTGTGGTCGTGCTGGGGTGTGGTCGTGCTAGGGTGGGGTCGTGCTGGGGTGGGGTCGTGCTGGGGAGTGGTCGTGCTGGGGTGTGGTCGTGCTGGGGTGGGCGTGCTGGGGCGTGGTCGTGCTGGGGTGGGGTCGTGCTGGGGTGGGGTCGTGCTGGGGTGGGTTCGTGCTGGGGTGCTCCGCACCCTGTGATTTATCGATCGGGTCGTGCTGGGGTGTGGTCGTGCTGGGATGTGGTCGTGCTGGGGTGTGGTCGTGCTGGGGTGTGGTCGTGCTGGGGTGTGGTCGTGCTAGGGAGTGGTCGTGCTGGGGTGTGGTCGTGCTGGGGGGTGGTCGTGCTGGGGGGTGGTCGTGTTGGGGGGGTGGTCGTGCTGGGGGGTGGTCGTGCTGGGGCGTGGTCGTGCTGGGGCGTGGTCGTGCTGGGGCGTGGTCGTGCTGGAGTGTGGTCGTGCTGTGGTGAGGTCGTGCTGGGGTGTGGTCGTGCTGGGGTGTGGTCTTGCTGGGGTAGGGTCGTGCTGGGGTCGGGTCGTGCTGGGGTGTGGTCGTGCTGGGGTATGGTCGTGCTGGGGTGGGGTCGTGCTGGGGTGGGGTCGTGCTGGGGTCTGGTCGTGCTGGGGTGTGGTCGTGCTGGGGTATGGTCGTGCTAGGGTGGGGTCGTGCATTTCGCTCGAGACATCCTGCCAAAATTCCAGGAAATCGCACAAAAACAAACGAATTAGTCGAGACATCCTCGGAATTCCTGCGCGAGGAGCGCTTTTCCGTGTCGCGGTCGGCTCTGCAAAACCAGCGTTTCGCTTGAGACATCCTCAGCAAATTCTGAAAACAAGCGTTTCGCTCGAGACATCCTCAACTCTGCAAAACCAGCGTTTCGCTCGAGACATCCTCAAGAAATTCTGAAAAACAAGCGTTTCGCTCGAGACATCCTCAAATTTTAATTCGCCGGCCTCCTTCGACCTCGTTATTTATCAGGGAAAAAATTCGCCGGCCTCCCTCAAGTTGGCACCGGGGGACAGGTTTACCTACTAAAAGAGAACCCTGGGCCCACGCCCTTTCCGGGAAAAAAAATCGGAAAACGAACTTTCGAATCCCTCACAATCTGCCAAAAACCTACCCCGCGGTGGAATTCCTCTAGCTCGTGGACGCCGACGAGCTCTACGAGGCACGGAGGGAGGAAGGGAGAAGAGAACGGGGACAGGCAGGGAGGGGGCGCTCAGCCGGGAAGGGGGAGAGCAAGAGGCAGGCGTTCGCTGCCACAACCTCACCCTCAGATCCGCATGGGCACCACCCCCGGAACACAGAATCATAACTGGAAACGGCGGTAAATCGTCGACCAGGTCACAGACGGGACCATCGTAGAGCACTCGACACTAGTAGGGCTCATAATACGACCAGGAAACTTACTTCAATCAGCTTAAAAACTCGAAGAAAAATATTGATGTTATTCGCCAAGTAATTCACTAGCAACGCTAGAGCAACGGGCCTGGGACGTCGACAGGCCAACGCGCCATAACCTACTATAGATGAAAACATGATGGACCCACGAACCCGGAAAGGGATATAGACATGTGGAGCATGGACACGTTTTCATGATACCCAACTGGGCAACACCTCACGAAACATCCCACGAGACACCTCACGAAACAGCCCACGAGACACCTCACGAAACATTCCACGAGACACCTCACGAAACATTTCACGAGACACCCCGCGAAACATTCCACGAGACACCCCACGAAACATTCCACGACGACAGGCAACCACTCAACCAAGGCGGTGTGGTCGTGCTGGGGAGTGGTCGTGCTGGGGTGTGGTCGTGCTGGGGGGTGGTCGTGCTGGGGGGTGGTCGTGCTGGGGGGGTGTCGTGCTGGGGGGTGGTCGTGCTGGGGCGTGGTCGTGCTGGGGCGTGGTCGTGCTGGGGCGTGGTCGTGCTGGGGCGTGGTCGTGCTGGGGCGTGGTCGTGCTGGGTGCTGGGGCGTGGTCGTGCTGGGGTGTGGTCGTGCTGTGGTAAGGTCGTGCTGGGGTGCGGTCGTGCTGGGGTGTGGTCTTGCTGGGGTGGGGTCGTGCTGGGGTGTGTGGTCGTGCTGGGGTGTGGTCGTGCTAGGGTGGGGTCGTGCTGGGGTGGGGTCGTGCTGGGGAGTGGTCGTGCTGGGGTGTGGTCGTGCTGGGGTGTGGTCATGCTGGGGCGTGGTCGTGCTGGGGTGGGGTCGTGCTGGGGTGGGGTCGTGCTGGGGTGGGTTCGTGCTGGGGTGCTCCGCACCCTGTGATTTATCGATCGGGTCGTGCTGGGGTGTGGTCGTGCTGGGGTGTGGTCGTGCTGGGGTGTGGTCGTGCTGGGGTGTGGTCGTGCTGGGGTGTGGTCGTGCTGGGGGTGGTCGTGCTGGGGGGTGGTCGTGCTGGGGGGGTGGTCGTGCTGGGGGGTGGTCGTGCTGGGGCGTGGTCGTGCTGGGGCGTGGTCGTGCTGGGGCGTGGTCGTGCTCGTGGTCGTGCTGTGGTGAGGTCGTGCTGGGGTGTGGTCGTGCTGGGGTGTGGTCTTGCTGGGGTAGGGTCGTGCTGGGGTCGGGTCGTGCTGGGGTGTGGTCGTGCTGGGGTATGGTCGTGCTGGGGTGGGGTCGTGCTGGGGTGGGGTCGTGCTGGGGTCTGGTCGTGCTGGGGTGTGGTGCTGGGGTGTGGTCGTGCTGGGGTATGGTCGTGCTAGGGTGGGGTCGTGCATTTCGCTCGAGACATCCTGCCAAAATTCCAGGAAATCGTACAAAAACAAAGGAATTAGTCGAGACATCATCGAAATTCCTTCGCGCGGGGCGCTTTTCCGCGTCGCGGTCGGCTCTGCAAAACAAGCGTTTCGCTCGAGACATCCTCGGCAAACTCTGCGGAGCAAGCGTTTCGCTCGAGACATCCTCAACACACGAAAAAGTGGCCCGCACCCTGTGATTTATCGATCGGGATTTCAAAAACAAGCGTTTCGCTCGAGACATCCTCAAATTTTAATTCGCCGGCCTCCTTCGACCTCGTTATTTATCAGGGAAAAAATTCGCCGGCCTCCCTCAAGTTGGCACCGGGGGACAGGTTTACCTACTAAAAGAGAACCCTGGGCCCATGCCCTTTCCGGGAAAAATACTGGGCCTGCGTGGCTCGCGCCCCGTTGAAGGCAAAACCAGGATCACCTGGAAAAATATACCCTGACGGCCGACGTTTCCTAAACGTCTTTTGAAAGTAATATAGCAGCTACGGACCTGAGAATTGGACATACAGACGCGGCACAACCCACTTCAGGATACGAAAATCCAAGTTCCGAAACGAACGAATCTCCAAATCCTTCAAAATCTTCGAAAACTGATCCCAACTCATCACATTGTCCGCCCGGGACGATGGGCGAACTGGGAGCCGGCGGTAAACCGTCGATCAGGTCACCTCCGGGACCCTCCTAGCTCTTGATACGCAGAACACAGATAACGAGGAGAGAGCGCCTTCGAATGCCAGCTGAACAGTCGGACCTGAGAATTTCACGGGCAGACGCGGCAGAGTCCACTTCGCGTGAAAAAACTACTGGTTCCCAAAACGAACGGTTACATTTTCCAGAATCTTCAAAAAAAACGACCCGAGGTCATCACGCTGCCCGCCCGAGCCGGGCGGGCCAACTGGACCCGGCGGTAAGCCGTCATACGGGTTTTTTTTTGCGTCTTTGCTGGGACCATCTTGGCCACTGAGGCCAGGTCCAACGAAGTCTCAGCCGAAGCGAAGCCTCAAAATTGTCAAGCAAGCAGTCCGCTCATATAGAGAAACAGAAACATGCATGACCAAAGACGTTCGCACAACCTGTGGGAGACCATCGCAGATGCGCTCCGCCGCTGATAACTCTGTATCAGGGATCAGACCTAGGTCCGTAGGTGTAGTATACAGACAACCCGACAACAGTGAGAACACTGAAGAGGCGAGACTAGAACTACAACAAGAGAGCCAGGAGACCTGGCCAAGAACTGAACATGCACACAATGAATTATTAGAGCTCAAACAATGCACAGAATGACCACACGAGGAGATCACAATCAACAATCAAAAAGACCACGCGAGGCAATCACAATCAACAATCCAATACAACACAGCGTACAATACACAGAGAGGTAATGTATGCAGACAATCATGTTCAAAGCTGCCCTATCGTTTGCCTTTGCCTCTGCCTTTGCGGCTACCTCTAGAGCTCCCACCGCCATCGGGAGAAACTCGAATGCTTTGGGAAGACTCGGGAACCAACTTTTGATGTCCAGTCTTGGCTATCACATCCGAAGCGACACGGACAGACGACAACCCCGACGGAGAGGCGATTCGTCCACGTGGCGACGTAATTCTGAGCTCTTGGGGCTCCCACATTTGCTGTAGTCTCCGGGTGTCTGCTGCGAGTCTCCGCGGGTCTGCGCGACTGGCACTCTCGAAAAGTCCGTCTGGAACAAAACTGAAACAATCGACAATGTACCCTGGAGCTTTAAACCTGGCCTCCTCGGCACGGTCCATTCTCCCCGTCACGAAACGGTGAGATTTGAGACAATCCAAAAGTTCTCCCAGAAACGACTGAACATGATCCGTGAGGTTGAACAAAGTATGGAACCAAAATGATACATGATGTTTTGGGAAGGTCATTGGCTCTGTCATGAAGTCTACGAATAACTCAAGCCCCTGGATTAAATACTGCAGCGCAATCTGGCCGGTGAACCCCTTCTGGGCAGTGCTCCTGTCAATCCATGTTTTGACGGAGTCCTGGAAAGTGAACTGAGTTTGCACACAGGCGTCCTTCAAAGTGAACTGAGTATGCACGCCAGCATCCATTGAAGTGAACTGAGTTTGCACACAGGCGTCCTCGCAAGTGAACTGAGTTTGCACGCCGGCAGAAACCTCGCAGAGCTCTCAACACCCAAATGAACGCTTAGACTGCGAGGAGGAAGCTTCTTCGAAACTCTGCTTAAAAACTGGGGGCCGGCGGTAAACCGTCAACCTTGGTTCGTTTGATTCTTCGGGCCCCTGTACACCAGCTGCGAGACAGCTGGAGGAGACGAGTCTCGCAAGTCCCGAAGCAACGAGTATCGCAAGTCCCGGGCAACCTCGGTTTTTTGGGGTTTGCGCGGGCTCCAGGGCGCTGTCCGCAGCGCCGCCCGACTGGGCGCCTAGCGAGCCTAGCAGGTCTAAGCGGAGGGCGCGTGTGAGCGCCTCGGCGGCAGCCAGTTCACAATCTGTGATCGTGGAGTGCGGTGGTAAAAGAAAGGCACTGGGGGCGATGTCCCTCCAAACGAAGGCATCACGTGGTTCACTCCCTGAGGTCCTCCTGCGGGCTATCTGACGAGAGCCGAATGGAGAAGGAGTGGCGCGGTAGGTCGGACCCCACTGACTGCAATCCAAGAAGCCTTTCTGCAGCCAAAAACCACATCCACAACCGTTGCCGTCCACTCCCCCATCGTATGCCCCACGATAGGCGACGTGTACAAGATATTGTGACTCAATCGGACTGCATGCAACCTGATTGGAGTAGAAAGTGCGGCCCTCTCGGGCCAGGTGGGTGAGCTCGTCGGCCCTGGTGTTATCTTCCCTGTACTCATGTCGATATATGTCCCGTCCTATGTTCGCCGCTCGGATGTTCGCGCGGCAGCTCAGCTCGCATGTGGTCCCCACACACTCCGCAACTCTGTCGGCATAACCCTGATTATGGCACCTCCACCTCCCTTGGAGCCACGATGAGACCAGTAGTGAGTCCCCTTGGAGGTCCACGCATATCCCCTCGCTCAAGACGTCCCAAACCGTAGCACGCTGACATATAGTGGCCAACCGCTTGGACTGTTTCTCAAGGGCCTCAGGAGTCGTTCCCTCGCTTGGCCTCGAACTGGGTGGAGCTCCAACTGGGACCTGTGGTGGCAACATACCAATATACAAAGATTTTCCGTTTATTGAAGTGCCCCAAGATCGTCCGCCACAACTTCACAAAGCCTGTGTATGAGTCGTCAAAGCCGCCCCACCAGGAGGGTCCCAAGACTTCCCTATATGGGTATTGCCAGGTCCGTTGACCTATACTCATGGGACCAAAACGTCTCCTGGTGCCCGAGCGTGCCAGTGAGAGCTGTCCCGATGCATGCAACGAAGATGTAAGGTCGTCTCCCCGAGACGTCCACTCGGGATTGTCGAGGAGCAAAGTGCCTCGACTGCCCAGAAAGGTACGTGAGCACCGTCCGTCCCCTCTGTCGATCCCCCGTCTCACTTCCCTCCCATCCTCCGTATCCGTCTCCCTGGCAGTGTAACGGGAACGGATAGCAAGCTGACCCTGCACATACTGAGCCACACCCCGTGCAACATTGAAACTGCGTGCACAGACCAACTGCGTGATAGATTGGAAACCCTCATCACAACATTGCCGTCGGACGTGGTCCAATCGTCGTGGTCTCCATATGTCCCAGCTCTCAGTGGCTGGCTTCCTGCGCCCGAGCATAGACATGAGTAGACTCCCCTCGCATCTGTGCAATAATCGTAGCCACTCCGCACCCAGTGTACAGCAGTCGAGGCCGTAAGACATGACGCTCTGAAATCTCTGTTGATATCTATAGAACTCAGCCCGTGGGCTCACAGATTTAGAACGAAAATACGGTGCATGTGCGAAAAGCGCCCTCCTGGCCATCGTGATCCGATGACGAATATCTCCATGTGTATTACCAACCCCTGATTCCATCACCGTGCCTAGTACCTGCATCTTCGTCACTCTCTTGAGCGGGAAGGGGGCCCCTGCAATATCCACCTCAAAGGAGCATGGTGGGGAGTCTCCTGCAATCACATACTCGAGAGAGTCTGGTTTCCATGATAAACCCCAAGTCTCTGAAGCAAGTGGTGAGTGATGTCAAGAGGTACTGTAAATCCTGAGCCGAGGTCGCAAAGAGATATATGTAATCCGCCCACAAGGCATGTGAGTACCTGCACACGTCCATAGATACATCCAAGATGTCCGTCACGTGGTATCCTAGCTGGAGGTCCTCCCAAGACTTGAATAGGTCAGCACACATCGCAAGCACCACAAGATTAAAGAGCAAGGGACTCTCTGTGCCCCCCGTACGGATGGAGCGGTCCCTGGATGCAGTAGCCTCCAAGCCCTCGAAACATAATATACCCGACGTCCAAACAAGAGGCTCCAGGATACCATGCGTGAGCCTAGGGTGGACTTTGAGGGCCTCCAGAGCACGCGCCACAACTTGGATCGTAATGTTGTCGAAAGCCTTTTTGATATCGGCCTGCGCAACATAAGCAGTTTGGTCGTTGTTGTTTTTGCCCCAGACGCCCCCATGTTGACATATCTATTTGAGTGGCCCCACGATCTCCCAAGGGCTCCTACCAGGGCTGAAACCGTAGAGTCCCAGTCGTTGCAGGTCCCCAGACACCTCCGCCTCCAGTGTAATAGTGAGAGATGTGAGGTACCATTTGGCAAGACTAGTGGCAACGACAATCGAGCGTGTCTCACTCAATCATCGTAATGTGGGTACTTTGGGCATCAACGTAATGAGAACCTGTCGCCATGTATCTGGAGTCGGAGAGCATGCACGATAGATAGAGAGAAATGTGGTGTAGATATGTCGGATAGATCTCCACGTGAGCGGTTTCAGCAACTCGGCTGCACATCCGTCGGGCCCGAACAACCTCCCCGTGCGAAGGCGGGCTCTCGCTCTGAGAACAACGGCAAAAGAGAGCTTCGGCGCTGGCCGACCCGACACCTTGGCCTGCTCCCGCAAGCGTCGTAGCAAAGAGAGTTGCTCTGCGCGAGACTGTGCACACGACATGGTTGTCGCCCCGTGCATCTGAAGCGCATCCTCCCACTTCCACCGATCCTCCGTAACCTCCCCATCCACCTCCAACGATGTAGTCTGAATCCGCTGTGCTTTCCTTCCTCCCTGAAACTCCCAAGTAAGTCGGGCCCTGTCGTATTCTCGTTTGTGGGGTCTGATGTGTTGTGTAATGGCTTTCATTTGGACTCTCTTATCTTGGGGGCCCATGTCGGTGCGTGACTTGAGTCTGCGGTACATGGCCTGGAGATCGGCCAACACCGCCGGCTTGACAGGCGCGGAACTGACTGCTGGCGGCACAAGATAGGGATCGGCGAGACCAGACAAGTACGACCCAATGTCTGCAGGGGATGTGTTGGGAATGCCGATATCCGCGAGAGAGGCGAACTGGGATTGTTGGAGCTGGTCAGAGAAAGGTCGACGAGCCGTGGAGGTAGGGCGGGGTTGGGAGCGAGGTCGATATCGAGGAGCGCGAACCTGGGGTCGGATCTCGAACTTGAGAAAGGCATGATCCGAGTAGTGGCTGTGGACTCCGTCACGCAGCCATTTCACCATGGTCTCTCCTCTCCCCCAGGCCGTCGGAATGCAAACGTAATCTAGCACTTTGCTAGGGCTGGCGGCCCCCCCACTTCCAGTAGGTCGGAGTCCGTTCTGCAGAAGTATTGATGGCGCAAAGTCCCTCCTCCCCCATGAAGTGTTCAAAGTGCTCCCTCATCATCTCCTCCCTCCACCGTCTGCTCTCTGAATCATTCCCGTATCCTCTCTGCCGTGCCATCATAAGTCCCTCCCCCGTGATCTGCTCCCCCCGTGTCGACACAAGGTCAGGCGTGAGCTCCACATTGGCGTCACACACAAGAAGCAACCAAGCGTCTGGGAGCCTCTGCACCGCCTCACGGCGCATTTGCCGCAGCTGTCGGCACATTGTCTCCATATCCGTCGGAGAGTCATCATACGAGCTGCCTTTGCAATAAGCACTGCAGAAGCAAACACCGTTACCGAAAAGCACACCTGCGATCCTATCTAAGTTAAGCCAAGTATGAATTATGTTGCATTGGTACGATGCCCGTACCAGAACCCCTGCTCGGAGACAGCTGGATCGATAACCCAGCCAACCAAGCCGTCTGATCCCATCGGAGAAAATTAAGTGCTGGCACTCTTGGAGGCCAATCACCGCAACCCCTTCATGAAGGAGCTGTCTGCATAGGGCAAATCCTCTAGCATCACGGCGACCAGCCCTGGCAACATTCATGGAACCTGCCGCGAAAGGCTTGTTGCCTCTGTCCGCGCTCTCGCGGCGCCCTCACTCCAAGCTGGATTGGAAAGCGGCAAGACCGCGTCCCAGACATCCTTGTGGATGGTCCAGCGTGCTTCTGATGCCTTCCAAACTGCAAGCTCGATGGGTCGATGGGTCTGGAGGGCGGCTTGGTCCAGGTAGTGCTGATGCCTTCGCCCGATCCAGTCTGACTGCTGATGCCAAACTTTGTGTTCGGATATTGCTTGAGAATCGTTTGCCTCCAGATACCATGGAAACGTCCCACGGCGGCAATATGACCCTTCTTCCATTCTGGGGCCTCGATATTGATGATGATTTTCTTTGGACGACAATCCATATCTGTGAGGATGTTCTGCATGGTGCGATATGCTGCGAGCTTCTTTTGAGCATCTGTACGTTCACTCGGATCCAAGATAATCGCATCCCACAAGTGTTTACAGTTCCATAATACATCCCCATCGGTACCAGCACAAAACTTGACACGGCAGAAAGAAAACATGGGCTGGTTACCAGTGATACGAAGGGTACCAACATCATCCACTTTGGCTCTATCTTTCTCCCCGAGAAGGTCAAGTAAGTTTCGAATAAGATGCTGGCAATCGAGGTCCGTGATCTGTGTCTCTGAGCGCGACATCGCACTGGACGTATCCGTGACCCAGCAGCGGACCTCGAGATATGGTGGGTTCTACTGGCGCTGTACTCCAGCTCCTCCAACCGATGACGTGCCTCCCGCACTCGGGGCCGCCGCGGAGGCCGACGTACCTGCTTTGATGAAG